ATGGGTGAATACATTCATCAGTGAAGGCTTGCAACCAATTTAAAATAAAAAGCTCACAACTCTTTCCTGTGTTAACTTCTGAATCTCTGTAAATCTCAAAGTTTTGGTTTCCCTTCCTTTTTATCTCTCTCTCTATCCCTTCCTACAGTTTTCTTTTTCCAGATATTCCTACTGTTTAACGCACTTTCGAGCTGCGACCAAACAAATCTAAGGCTATGAATAGATGATCACAAATTATTAAATTACAATGGCATGACCATTTACAGCTAATGTCAAGTGAGTCACATTAATTGTATGAACTCGCAACCTTTACAGCTGGTGATGTAAAACACAGTATTTGAAAGCACCTTCATGTTTCAAATTTATTTAACATAAAAATTCAAGAGCTGCAATTGAAAATAAATACAACAAATAATTTAAAGTCGGTGTATCTCTCTCCCCTTGCTTCCCACCCCCTTTAAACACAGGTCTTTATTGAGAGACAGGCTCACTGTCCAACTGCACATTCACAAAAAAAATACAGTCTGTTGTGCAACTGTCTGTAAATTCTTTTACAATTTATTGTGAATGATACCTCCTAATTGGAACTTAAGGAAAATACAGGAAGGAGAGCTTTTCCCTATCTCTGCTTGTCTTTAGCACACACGTACCACTTCCTGCATGTTGTCAATTTTCCAACTATTCCCCATCATTTCTATTGGTCATTGATGCAAAAATAGAAGAAAGTATTTTTCGGAAAACAGAATACTTGATTGGAAAAAAAAGAAATTAAGAGTGGCACTTAAAGCTAATGTTAACATTTAAAAATCTCCTTAGCTTTCTGGGTGATTAGTGTCCTTAAAGAAACATTTACATATTCTTCTCATGCAAACCAAGTTCAATGCAGACACAGACTCTCCAATAAATTCACAGACATGAAGAAAATTGGCAACTTTGCTGCTGCTTTTTGTACACGAGCATCACCTAATCTGTTACAGATAGATAAGAAGTGTACACCACGTGTTCTTGGCATCCAAGGCACATTTTTTGAATGAGTTTATTTCTCATATACATGTCTCTAGCCTATGCCTCAATCATTTCTGCAATGTCTAAGCATGGACTACAGTGCATAGCTGGGATATCTAAGGATGATTCCAACAAGTTAACTGCAAGGCAGATCAGTGGGCCTAGTAAGTAATGAACATCATACTCATATTGGTTCTGGGAACCAAGCTACTATTTCTTCACAGTGCCACACACGGTGGAAGAGATATACCTTTATAAACGGAGATTGCTATAGTCACATAAAACTCAAGATGTTTTAGTTACGTATTGTTGGCATTTATCAGAAAATTTCCTTTTTCTGAAGAGTAAGACTCATAGCTCTATTAACACCAGGCACATCAGCCTCACTGCAGCTAGGAAGCAAGCCAGATGCAGGAATCCCTCCTATCCCACATGCGGAGACCACAAGCACCTTATTCCTCTTCAGTGCAAAGGCGGCAATGCCAGCCCACCCACTTGATTTATAATGAGTGAGAATATTTGCAATGCAGATTCCATCCAACTTAACCAACTTCCATCATGTAAATCTTTGTACTTTCCCTATTTGAGAAGTCTACAGAGGGAAAAAAATTTTTGCTCATCCCACATTAGAAGAAAACATATTTTGTGTTTTGTTTGAGGGTTTCTGGGAGAGTGGAAAGGTTTTTCTTGCCTGATTACCCTTTCACTACTTACAGGTATACTTCAGGGACAGGCTTAATGCGCTGTCTAATCTGCCATCCTTTCTTTGTTGCCTAGCACAGGGATCAGCATTGTAAACTAAATTTCTGACAAAAGCAGCTCAAACTGTCCACAAAATTCCTTCAACAACACTGTCAGATGGGAACTGACTGCCCTGAGCATTTGATATGATAGAGCAAAGACACATCAAACTGCACAAAATAAGGTTTTTATTCCAGTATCTTTAAAGCCATGTGAATGTCAGTTTACATATGGTCTGTCTAACAAAAGACAGACCATAATTTTCCTTTCTTTTTGCTTTTCCTTTTCTTTTTTTCATTTCTCATGGGAGGGGTAGCTAGTCTGATGCCATCTGAAAGTCTCCAGGCACACGAAGAGGGCTGAGCTATGACCCGCCTATTCTTGGTAGCATATTAATATCGGGTTTATTGAGAGAAACATTCTCTCAGATGAAACAAAAAGCTCCCCTAGTTAGCAACCAGGTTAAATTTGCGTTTGCGCTTGGACCCTGAACACCTTCTGGCCTTAAAGAAGGAAAGTTAGAGGAAAGCCTTGGAGTGCACAACACCCATTAAATCAGAAGACTCCTTTAATGCCCACTCATTCATCTCTAGTCTGATGTCTCTCTTTTGCTCTGTGCATGGAGATGGAGACTTACTAGTGATGAAGTGTGGCAACCCACATCAGGAACTAGGGATTGTGGACAATAATGTTGAAAACCACAAGGTCACGGACGGATGCAGCTTGTAACAACAAGCCAGCATTTTCCAAGCACAGGGATGTGCCAGACCTTCCTGATGCAGAGCCTTGCAGTTAGAACAACCACAACTTGCCTAGATCAGCTACAGATCTAGAAAACAGAGCCATACAGAATATATGCAGGTCATACAGGTTGGCACCTTCCCTGAAATTCTCAGGGAAAAGTGTACAGAAGGTAACACTTGGAATCTGCGACAAAGGCAGACTGCCAGGGAGGGGAAGATGAGTCCTACATCACCTTTTAGTACTCTCTGGCATTAGCAGTATCTTCTGGTATCTCCACCTGCAACCTGTATGGAAGCATTGGCGTAACAGAGATTCACAGTTACGAATACGGATGCTGGCAGAAACCACAGGGACTTAGACGTTTTCTGCCACCTCCTGTGCTGCCCTTCCCACATCATTCTCCTCATACATGAGGGAGATGTAGCTGTCAGTTCCTGTACCAAACTGATCTGACCCACCCTATCTCCTTCTTACTCAGGTGGAAGTCAGTCACATCTAACAAGGCCATGAGAAAGAAATTATACCACATTCATAAAACCAGACATATTCCCAACTAAGCCATGAGGTGGTATGGGGACAGTATTTTACTTTTTCTGCTGGGCTTCTTGAGCTCAGGTCTGCTCCTAAATTTCACAGGGCATCAGTTGTGATCAGTGCTTCTGAAAGGAAGAAGCCACCATTCCCACAAGGCAGATGCAGTCCTGGGACTCAGCTGAACGTACTCAGCCAAAATGCATTGAGACGTACAAACTAAAGCTCTGAATTTTCTTCAGAGAATCCACTCTACAGCTGGGAAGTCTGGATGGCACCTGCTTATTTCCGTTCAGACTGATAAAGCCACAAAAGAAGCCTGTGTGAAGGAAGAGATCTCTGCTGAGGAAAAGAATGGCAAGTCTATTTCCATGCTTAAGACTGCAAAGCCGCTCAAACAGTTACAATGAAAGATCTGTGCACTTTGGCACAGTGAAGAATTGAGTTTCAGATCATAAAAATCAATAAAAATGCATATTTGAACTAAACTGGTATTTACTCAGCACCAAAATAGCCTGAGGGTTACACCTGCATACTCAAATTAATTTTCAAGTGCCTCTTTTGCTATGCAGGGTATTTTATGTTACAGTTGTACCATACTTACATAACCTACTTGAAATGTATTTCCCCTTGTTTGGAGTAACAACCTTCTGGAGATGTCTCATAAGGTCCAATTTGGAAAGAAATTAAAAGCAAGAGCCTTCCCCACATACTGCTTCCTGACTACCACACAGAATACCTGCTGAGCAGAGATCAAGCAAGTCTCTCTGCTGATTTCAGAGACAAAACACATTGAGCTGTTAATAAATGGAGGCTTATATAAAGCCTTTTAATATCTTCATCAATTAGAGCTCTATATGACTTACTGTGAAGTGCTTTTAGATGGATCTTATTGACAGTGGAGTATATATACGTTCAGTGCGACACACAGTGGAACAGTAATCACAGAATCAGAAGGGCTAGGCACAAGCGCTCACCTGATCTCTGTCCCAAGGGATGTGAAACTATAGTGGTATCATTCCTGAAATATGCATCTTCTTAAAGACATCTAGCGATTGCAACTCTATTCCCCTCCTCCCCATACATACCAGGAGTTTAGCCCAGCACTTCACTACCCTCATTATTCTCTTCTTTGCTGCAATTCCAGCTTTTTACTTCTTGTCCTAAACATCACGGAGATCGGTAACACACTGTTCTCTTCCTCAATGAAGTCTCTTATAAACTCCCCTGAAAGTCTCTTCTTCACATGAAACACAAACAGTTATTTCAATCAGTACTCCACAGCAGGTTTTCCGAGCCTCCAATCATTCTCACTGCCCTCCTCTGGATTCTCTCTAGTTGACCCAAATATTTCATAAAAAATTTAGTATAACAGTCCACCTACAGCCGCTTCAAGCCTGAACCAGGCATAAGGATGACTTCTAATGTCCTGTAGGACAATGCCACATAAGCTGACACTGGGTTATGTCTAGGCAAATGTTATAAACTAAGACCTTTTATTCCAATAAAACTGGAACAGTTGTTCTACGAAAACAGGAGTAATATGTATATGCATTATCAAAGACAATGTTCTTATCTAAGCAAACTATGCAATTCAAATTATTCTGTGAAAAGTACGCAATCTGTCCAGGAATCAGCAGTACTAAATCATTATCTCTCAATCAGGAGATGTACAACTATGTACAAGAATCACAGTAGCCAACTCTCTGTCATCCTGAAACCCTCCTGAAACACCTTTCACAAAGAGCTTTCACCAGGCCATTCTGCTCATCTGACAGGCTAGGTGCTTGGTCTAGTTTTCCCTGACAGAAGGCTTCCAGACTGTGGTCAAATAGCAGCTACGAATCACTTAAAATTATAAAGAGCCCCAAACCAGCACAGATTAGTTATATTAGAAAAGGTCATTTCCATCCTGTGACAAGGGTTTTAAAAAGAGTTTGAGGACAACTATAAAATGAAATTCTGCCCTTTGTACTTACCCTTCTCTTTGGTACTCCTCATCCAAATTTGACAAAAGCTGGGACCCAGCCACAGACAGATCAAGTGCAGCTAAAGGTAGATCTCGATAAGCAAAATTAACAAGCTGTACAGGAGCAATGCTTTTGGTCTCTTCTTCCACTTGTTGTGAAATTATCTCAACTTCTGAAACACCACCTTCTATTGCAGGCCTGAAAACATAATAAGCAAAATAAAAACCCCCCTCTCTCCACACACACATATACATATAAACAATATAAATAAGCAAGCAAGTAAAAATAAGTTGAGAGACAAGAACTTCACAGAATCCTAAAAAGCCAGCAACTTAAAAGGCCTTTGCAAGGTCATTGAGGAAGTTGTCCTCATTGAGGGGACAGACCAAATCTCTCCAAACTTGTCTTTCGTAGATCCCACTGCAATCAACAGAAACCTCACAGACAAATGAGAACAGCATTTCACTCTGCTGAATCTGCTTCAAAAGCACTAAATATAAATGGATATGTTATAAACAAACAAACAAATACAGAAACAATGCATGAACCCAAAAGCAAAATATTCGTGCAAAACAGAAAGAAGGCATGTAACTATGCCAACTAAAAACTCACTGCTTTGTAAGTTAGATCAGTGAGCAATGAATAGCTAAGCTTATTAATCATTATATACAAATCAACTGTTAACTAATGGATGCAGTTTGACCCCTCTTCCATGGTGGGTCAATATTCAAATAGTTTTGATGGATGGAGACTTTGTTTCATTCAACTAGAAAGGATCATTCTGTTACAAGTTATTTCAAAATAATTCTGAAAGGAGAACAACGATTCAGAAGAATTATGGACTCCTCTATAAAGATTATCTTAACTATCCTTATGTACAGCTTCTAAATATGAACATGTATTCTTCTACCACCCCACTAACATTAATGGGAACTCCATGCAGGTAAAACCAGAGTCTGACTATGTGTGTGTCTTCCACATTTATAACAAGATACTACTTATCTAGAAACTCAAATTTTGTCAGCATATTGTCTAGTGCATGTGACGGATGACTTCATTGTAGGAGAGAGCTTGCATGTCAAGCCCCAGCAGGGATTGATCCTTTGTAGTACCCAGTGAAAGCTGTTTGCTCCATTTGATTCAGAGTAGGTGCAAGCATAAACTTCTCTAGCTTTCTTCCAGGGGAGCTTGTTAACTTCTGAAGAAATCTCAGGGTATTTTCTCAGAGGTTTTCAACAGCGGGTGTGAAGATACTCTTTTTCCTTAGGGATATAGTTAAAAAGCGCTTAGCACCCAACTTCCCTGTTATTTGACTGCAAAAGTTGCATTGGTGATTCTGTTTTAAAGAAGCTTATTAAAATCTTCCAGCTATTCAAGCAACCTGAATAACAGTTCTTTTTTTTTCCAGAAAAAAATTAATAATTTAGAAGAGTTCTTAACTCATATATCTTGTAAGTGTAAGGATGTGGGTGAAGGAACTAAAAATCTATGTGAAAGAAATAGAGAAAGATTCTATTGATCGGAGCCTCACCATCAGACTAACCCTTTCAGATGGAAAACATTACTCCTAAATTAAAAGGAGCTAACTGCTGCCAGCATTACACAAGAAAGTAATTTTAAAAATCGGAAAATGCTGTTATATCTCAAGTATTTGGCAGGGAAAGGCTGCAACTGTGTCATACTATGGCAGAAAGTAGAGGTAAAAGGATGTACTATTTGAACAACCTAAAGACTTATTTTATTTTACTGTTCGTCTAACTAATAATGGAAAGTAATGAGATTCATTCACTTCTGACAGAACAGTATTCCTCCGTAAACAATCTGAAATCAGAAGCCCAGAGCGAGGAGCTAATTTTAGCAAGAATTTTCTTTCTTTGATTTTCACCTTTAGTGCTATCCTGTGGACATTTACCTTTACAAGTCCAAGCTGGTTCCATTTTGCACAAAAGAGCATACAATGATCCAATTTCCAGTATTATGAAGGAAAAAGGAAATGGGTTGGTACAGCCTTCCCTCTCCCACCAGTATTTACCTTCTGTATTCTTAGACAGACTAAATGACAGACATTGTCTGATTTGACTGAAAAGAAAAGCAAACAAACCAACAGACTGGCATTGGCAAACAGCTTTGGGACAGGTTTGGTGGCAGGAAAGAAAAAAGGCAAACGGATCTGAAAATAATATGACATACTAGTTTTCAGCCACTGTCTGTTAGTAACAGATCAGACATGCTTACAGCATTCGTGTTTTTTCTGCTAATTCACACTCTTTAGACAACCGCCAAATCCTACTACTCCTTCTCAAAATAGCAACTTTTCCTTCCAGTAATACTGATAGAACCCTCTTGACATCACATCATTCTCCTACAGGCAACAACTTGTTCCCTTCTATTTAAAATAAATTATAACTATCCTCACATGGTACTTACTGAGGATTGGTCATGTTGGAGGATGCAACCGAATCAGCAGTGGTTCCAGTATTTAACTAATTGCAGCTCCTCTGCACAGAGGTTCTAGCCTTCCAAGATTAGGTCTCTGTGAGAAGCAAAACAAAGTTATCTAAAACACAGTCGAAAGAACTCCAAAGGGCTGCAGTGACGTTTGTTGTCATATTGCAAGTTTGTCTAACAATTTTATTTCCCCCATGATTCCTTTTCAATGTGGTTTTATTCCAGGTTAACTCCTCCGTATTATAGAAGCTGTAAAGTTACAGTGCATTTACTTATACACATGGACACCTGCTCACTTATATGCTTCCATAAGAACACAGGTCTTGCTTTAAACCGCTAGACTGTTGAGAATGATAACCAAGATCAGAGCGGGGAGTGGATTTTCAAAGAAAACTCATGGCTTCAGGAGCGCAAATTCTATTATAAGCCAATCAATTTATTTATTTTTTTTTTTTTTTTTTTTTACAATTTAATATACTTTCTAGAGATGAGCATTAGCTTTGTCAACAAAGTTTGGGGTTCTGTTCTCCATTTTCCAGTTTGAACTGTGTTCCTGACTCCCTTTGGTACTTTAGAAAGTCTCTTCCAAGAATTAATTCATGTTGTCAAACATTCTACATGAGCTGTTATCAAGATGATTTTTTTGGTCAACAAAACCCACTAACACATTTGGAAAGGGCACCACATTTGCTTGTGGCAAAATCTCCATTTGTGTTGTACCTGGACCAATGCACGGCAACCAGAATAGAAGAGGACAAGCTTGTGAGAATGAAACCTACTGACACACAGGTTTTGGTAGCTGGAAAAATATAAACTGGAGAATACCATGTAAGAAACAAAAATCTTTAGAAAAAGATATCATGACAGACTTTGTAAAGCTATTGTCAAGATTATATGCTAAATAATTTTAAAAAGTAACATAAAAACATACTCTTATTTTAATTAAACATAATAGTCATTAGCAAATTAGAATATTACTGACAATAACATAAAAAAATTCATGATAATGAAAAATGCTTCTTACACTAAACTTTATACTAGAGTCACTTACAGGCTGAATTGTTAGTATCAGTCAAGTATTTACAGTGGAGACATATAAATGTAGCAACAGTATCACCCTTAACAATCACTTGATACCAAATAATAAAATTGAACTTACATCTTTTGTAGAGCCATTTCCAAGCCTTTATTTCATGTCTTATAACCTTATAATAATGTAAAACATAGTCAACGCATTCTCAGATTTTCCAGATAATGCTCCTGGGTATGCAAAAAGAAAGGGTCTACGCTGTGATCACTCTCCTCAGGTAGATAAGTCAGCCAAAAGCAATTTAATTATTCATATGAAGAAAAGAAACATGACCAACTTTACAAAAGAAAAATACATTTATTTTAGAAAACAACACACACACTCCATTTATCTATAACCTTGTAATGCTTCTAAAGTCAGAGGAAGAAGCAAACTTTATTCAGATAAACCTTCCCTGATACAGCAGAGACTTGATTCAACATCCATTTGATATCAATGGGAGTCTCTTCCCTGGCCTTCGTAGTCATTGAAATATTTTATTTATTATATCCCTAAGGTAGCAAAATACTAAAACTTCTGCCTAAAATTATGCATGTTTCAATCACACACTGATGGGATTTGGTGAATCTGTACCTATGACAGCTTTATGATAGCAATTGTTACACCTACCACCACAACAAAACTAAAATATAAATATCAGCCTTGTTTTGCGATGTTAGCTCCCTAACATCTCATTTTGGGTTGACATTTTACAACACTTTCCAAGAAGATAATTTTTAATGAAAAATTTTACCCAAACGAATTGTTCTAAGCACTCAGCTTGAGAAAATGGTAAAGGCATGAGGTACCGTGCACCTGTCTTGTGAGACTGAGGAAATTGAGAATCCTGCTATAACTGCATTTGCAGGCCTGGAAAATAAAAGGTAAATGGGGATACAGCTGACTTCGGAAATGGGAACAAAACTGATGGAAACTGGCCTCAGAGGACAGGCAGACAGATGTAGATATGGGAATTTCTTAACATAGTAAAAAACTCACCATTTATTTGGGAGACAGCACAGTGCTAATACTCACAACCTCCCTCCCAAAGGGGATTTAGAAAAGAAAACAATGACAACAAATGTACAGCTAGATTTTTAAAAATTCTTATTTTTTAGATTAATCTCAAGATTTTGAGGGAAATTAGTCATAACAGTGGGGCTAGCAACACATAGGACATCAACATGAAATCTTTATCTCTCCAGAATACACTCAGTCTCTCTTTTTTTTTTAAAGCTGGAAATATGTTCACACGCATACAGAATTTTGTTTTAACAACACAACCAGATCTGACCAGTGGCAACACCAATAAGCCAGACCTGCTCCCTCTCACTGGAGTTGGCAGCTCTGCAGATAAAGTTTGCTCACCACCTGAAGAAGCAACTCGCAGCCGGGCAGCAAGCTCCTCTGATAGCTCTGATGGCTCCGCAGGGAGCAGAGTCCAACTCGCCTTAGCTGAAGGGATCGTTACCATGACATAAGGCGCTCACAAAGGTGAGACCAGTAACGTGGAAAGAGACCTGAAAGGAGATAGAGGGAGTCAAGTCTCCAAAGGACTCAGTGGAGCCTTCCTGAGAGAAAAAGTGGCAAAAAGTGAGTAATTTCTGGTGCAGATGACTAACGTATTAGCTGATTTAATGAATTAAAAAGACAAGTAGTTAATATGTGCAGTAAGAGGGCAGCACAACTGAAACCTTCAAAATGGACATAATAGGTTGTGTATATCTATATCCTAAAGGGATTACTATGATTCATGCTTCTTTCTAGGCTTTTTGCAAGCAACAGAAATGTCTTAACGTATACTGATATTTTGCAGAAACTTATTCTTTCCACCCACTCCACCTCATCTATCTGTTATGTTCAAAACTGCCTTAAAAAAAACCCACTTTTATAGCAGCATAAAACAATTCCAACTTCCACAGGAAGTTTCTGTGCAACTGAGTGGTGTTTAAAGGCAACAAGGAACAGCAGGGTGATTTCAGTCTTCTGCACTTATCTCTCGCTTGCATTCCTATAGGATATAGTGTAGGCAAAGAGCAATGATGTGGCTCTCCTCCCTACCAACAGAGACAGGTGGGGGCAGAGGGCAACCTTTGGGTATTCCATCCACCACCCAAAAGTGGAAACTTTCCTTACAGCCCTTTTCACACCTATCCCACTCAGTGCTCGGTAGACAAAAAAGCCTCATCTCTCATGGTCTTATCTGAGGGAAATAGTTAACAGTTCCAGGGTTGGTTTGGGTTTTTTTTTTCACTTCTTGGAACTGAGACCAAACAGCACACGGTGCATGCTGAGTTGCCATATGAGTATGAGCAATGCCCATTTTGTGAGAGTTCAGCGATTCTATTTGTTATGTGGTGTGTTTTCAAGGTGAGACGGCTGTAGAAGGAGCACAGTTTCCCAAGTTAAACAGAATTAGTTTAAAAAGGGGCTATGACAGAAAGGAAAGAATTGTCCCAAAGAGTTTCTATAGTGCAAGCTTTGAAGTGGTGTAAAAACCAGAAACATTCACTGGTCTAAATGACTGACATACTGTCTTGTATGTACCAAAAGGACAGTGCAATCTGATGGGAAGCATATTTCTGCATCTGGTTTTCTGTACAGAGACAAGTTTGTAGACTGGTAGCCCAGCTTAAAATGTACGGGATCATGGTTCAAATCTCAGCAAAGCTGACTCAGCTCTTCACCCCTCTGTAGTAGGTGAAGGAAGTTGCACCCAGTTCACTAAGCTCTTTCTGAGGCAAGACCTTCAAAGTGCTTAAGGAGTGCTGCATTTGCCTTCCAAGCCCTTCAGCTTTCCTCTGTTCTTTGCACAGGTATTACACATGCCAGTGTTCCTCAAAGCTTCTGCAAGGTACCCTTTGCTTGATTATGATTTCTTTCACCCCCTCCTCCATGGAGGCACTGGCAAGAAACTGCTTCACAGTTCATGGGTTACGCTCAGAATCATGCAGGTTGAGAAGTGGGGTCATGCGCTATAGTTGAGCAAAGGTTCATGCTGCTGCCCTTGCCCAGCACGCATCCTGCCCGAGTTAATTTGTTAATGTTTAGATCAACTACCTATTGTCAGTCACCACACCTTGACTGTAGCTTGCTAATAAGGAGATAAAGTCCAGCTTAAACAACACAAAGCATAGAACAGTTTGGAAAGCATATGTTAAAGCGTAGCACATGTGAGATAGAGTGTATGTACAAACACTAAACACTAAGCTAAAAGAAAAACAAAACCCCAAGAGCAACCTTAAAAAAAAAAATCGGTACTCCACTTGTGCATGAAAACCATGACTTTTAGCATTGGTTTAAGCATAGTCTTACAAAATACGTGCCACAATGGGCACAGTGGGCCCAACTGGGGGTAGGAAGAAGGCTTAATTTAAGCCTTTTGCACCGAAGTCCCTACTAACTCGCACCCTGTTTAGCTGAGCTGAAGTCAAGACCACGTGGTTCAAGCCGATTGTCGTATTTGCTCACGTTCTGAGGAGTATTATCATGAAGCTGTAAGCTCCTGTACAAAATACAGACACTAACTGAAACATCTGTACTTACAAGTAGCTACAAATCCAAATTCTGAAATGTTCTTCTAACTAAAGATTCTTCCACACAGGCCCCCAACAGCGGCTTAGACACATGGACAGGCTCACAGTTTGCATTCAAAGCAAATGCAACAGGCCACACTTCAAGGAAACATTGCTGTTAGCTGCACTGCAGGTTTTTGGTATTCTTGCCCAGCTTCTGCTCCTTTCTCTGCCCATGCCATAGCCATGCACCTGCCCATGGGCCATTACTGTGAGCTGGACCAGGAAACTGATTTGGCATTTTAATCAGCAACAACAAAATTATTTTTCTTTTCCTGCACTTTTTTTAAAAAAGCAGGACGCCTTCGCTGATACAGGTCACAGTACAACTCCAGAAATAGTTATGTCA